CACTGGATGTAAAAATGTAAAAAAGAGCAAGATTCAATTAAAATGATAATAAGTTAAGATTGTACTCTTTAAACCAGTTAAATTATTTTTTTACAACTAATTATCACTAGAAGGTACCAATGGCAGAAACAAAGAAAATAGATAATTTAAATATTTTTAATTAGTTCATATTTTTTTCCAGCTTATAAAAGATATATGTATAACATAAAATAACAATAAGACACACGTACAAATTCCAACATGTGTCACCAGAGGGCGCGAATCCTTGTCACTTACTGATCCAAGATTTTATTTAGGGGGATGGTTACTTGATTGGAACTGGCACATGTTTTTTCTGAAAACGTCTAAAACTATACGAACTGGCTGATTCCAAAAATTATACATGTTACAGGAGATGGGATTAGTATCGTATTTTAGACCCTCCCTTTTTTGATCTATTTACTCTTTGAGTTTTTCGCTTACCTTAAATAACCCCCTGTTTCAGCCCCTGATTGTATCAATACTGTTTCTCATAGATATTCTCTTATAGCTGTCTCTGGAATTTCAAGCACAAAGGAAACAAAGAAATTAATATTAGTTTCTCAAAAGTTCTATATCTGAATACTAGTTAGAAATTATAAATATCAGTGAACCATTATTTGTCATTTTAAATGGGCCCGGCATGGCCAGGTAGTTAAGGCGCTCGACTCGCAATCTGAGAGTCGCGGGTTCGAATCCCCGTTCCACCAAACATTTTCGCCCTTTCAGCCGTGTGAAAAAAATAACATTATTTTCAAAATCTGCTTAGCTGAATTATAGAAAATCCGTTATTAAAACCAAAACAGCTTTTATAAACTTTAAATTCGCAGGCCTGTGATATCATTCCTTTTTTGTTTATTTTCGTGTTCACCCTGTATGATTTCTTCATACCATTATTCAAGAGATAAAACTATCTGAATTTAGATGTTATACGTAACGATTGCTTTACATTACTAATATCTTCCCAAATGCATTGCAATAAGTTGTAAATAAACCATCAAATATTTCTAAAATGTTTATTTGTTTTGAATTTCGGGCAAAGCTACACAAGGGCTATCTGTGTTAGCTGTCCCTAATTTAGCAGTTTAAGACTAGAGGGAAGGCAGCTAGTCATCACCACCCACCGTCAACTCTTGGGCTACTCTTTTACCAACGAATAGTGGGATTGACCGTCACATTATAACGCCTTTACATGTTCTACAGTAATTCCTGTACGCCAAATCCGAAAATGATATCCATTTTTCTCCATCACGTACAGATTTTTCACAAAACGTCATAACGCAATACATAAATGAAAGACCACAGCACGTAGTTTAGAGACTAAAAGATGTAGATTTCACACACACACACAAAAATCAGGATGAATGAGGATGTATATTCGTTTGGTATCAATATTCTTCCCTTTTCTTCAGTTTGTTTGTATTTTTGTTAGCAAACATAATAATAACAAATGCTCATTGTGGTAAACGAAATAATAATTTGATCTAACTAAGAGTTTTTTCCCGATTTGTAAAAAATCCTTACGTGATAGCACTATATTCATGTTATTAACAATGTATTCTAACCTTTATTCGTGCTCTTTATTTACCTTATGCTACTTGTAACACATTTCACCTACCATATTCTGCCCCATCGTTTCGGACAACAGAAATCAGTTACATTCCCTGCAACACTCCTTTTGATGGCTAAACTAGACAATTTTGTGTTATCATGGTGAGATACTATACCTACTCATGGTGTCACAAAAAATCATTACACTAATTTTCACCTTCACACTCATTATCACTTATATTCTGAAAAAAAATGGGAATGTCTACCTACCGAAAGCTTTCGGGTTACACAGGCCCGCGATGGTTTTACTGTCTTGAAATGTTGAAATTGCACACACACAAAACAGATTTGAGACTAGACACTTGCGAAATATATTATGGTACACAATATGAAACCAAATCATTCGCAGATATTTCCATGAAGTAAAGAAGACAGTGTGATTAATTTCACATAAAAGTAAATTACAAAGTGTCTTGATTATTAGAATAGCAATTGGGCTTTTTTAATTCAAAAGCAACAAGTGTAGTAGCCTCCAGCTCAATGTGGGTGGAAAGAAAATAAATATTTGCTACAACAGTTAGGACTAACTGGCTGAAATGGACTGGAATACTTTGCAGTTGAAGTAACTAGTCACAAAAATAAAACACAAATAACTGAGTTAAAACATGGCGAAGAAGGGCCTAATTATGACTTTATATGATGCTCTAAATAAAATACTTGTGTCATTCTTGAGCATAACGAAAACTGACAGATAGTCTTACATAAGAAAGGTAAAAAATGGCATTGTTTCCCGATGTCTGGTTAGCCTTTGGTTATTCCTTCGACCTGGTTAGGCTTAAAGACTCATATTTGGGGTATTGTATCCTTGGTGTACTAACAACTGTTGATTCCTTAAGTCCTGGATAGAAGGGCCAAGTTTCCCACACGTATTACAGTTCTCTCTTTATTGTATCTTTTGGGAGGAGTTCTTATTCCCTACAGGTCTGTGTTTCTTAGCAATATTTCTTTTCAAGTTACACTCGAAACACCTATTGTCTTGTGGTTTATTTCCTCCATTCTGTGTAACTAGCTGTCTAACTAGTCCTTTTACTTTTTATAGACTATTATCAGGAAGAGTCCGTGTTTCAATACTACTTGAGATGACGATTGATGATCCCGTAACTTCTAGACGGGGTCTTTAGTTGTTTATCTGCAATTTTAATGGATTCAAGTTTTACTGATAACTGGAGAGCTTCCTTTAAAGATGTATTCCTACACTGCTTAAATCTAGTTATCATATTCTCGTCTGATATGACATCTATAAATTGGTCACGTGCCAATGAATCCACCATTTTACGTGGAGAATTCCGGGTAAAATAGCTGGGTAAGCCTTTCCAAATCTTCTGAAATTCCACCTAAAGTCTCCTCTTTCCTTCATAATCCGGGGTTCGATTTCCCATGGGACACACAACAGATAGCCCAATGTGGTTTTGCTTTAAAAACAAACACACAAAGTTTCTTTCATACCCTGTTCCAGAACATTGCTCTGGATACTCAATTCTGGTGCGTCACTATGAATATCTTTGATAAGGTGGCCACCAATGCTTGAGTTGTTACGACTTTTAGCTGAAAGGTTATGTAATATTGCTAAAACTGATCAGCAAGATGAATAGCTTGTTGTTCACTATTCCTCCTGTTCACTCTGGGAATTATTTCAAACTGAGTCTGATATGACTCCAATGGTATCTTTCTATCATAATCTATTGGTTTCTCAATTGGGCAATGTAATCGAGTTGGCCAGCTAAACCTTGGAATTGGATTTGGTGGCGACATCCCTCGAGTAGTTCAGAAAGTTGTTGCAACAACAGATGACATAGCAGGTGAAAACGAAAATAGGTGGTCTTATTTCTGCATCTGCTCAAGAATTAAAACCTGAAGCACCATTTGCCACAAAATATTGATATGGTCTCAATCATGCATTAACCAATTCATTTTTCGAATGTTTTATTTTGTCATTGATTTCTTTTTGTTCTTCTTCGGTTTTGTCATCACAGTTTTGTTATTATAGCTTTTCTGAGCTTAATAATTCCTATTCTGGTAATATCTCTGCACATCTCCAACAGCTTCATTAATTTTGTTTTCAATCAGATTTATTTTTTATTTCAATTCTTCTCTAAATAGTATGTCTCTTTCTTTTAATTCTTCTTTAAATTCCAATCTCTTACCTCTACATCTTCTTTTATTTTTCAAACGATTTCTCCTTATAATATTTTTTTTTACCTCGTTCTTTTAATTTTCAGTCTCTTTCGTCTTGTTCTTCTTTTAACTTTCCATCCATTTCTTCTTGACCCTATTTTAATTGTTTCATCAACTCAAATAAATCTCTGATATCGCCTCGTGAGTTATCACGAAAATTGATATTCACTCAATGTTTTATTTTACTTTCACCAAAATAACCTCACCTTTGATGTCAGTGTTGAAACTATTGGGTGGATTCTTTTAAATGATTAGGAGAAAATAATTCAAAGCTCAGTCCACGTAAGTATTACAGATTAGTTAAATTTACTTGATCTAACGCCATGCAATATTTAGAAAAAATCTAAAGTAAAGTCCCGGCATGGCCAGGTGGTTAGGGCCCTTATCTCTCAACCTGAGGGCCGCGTGTTCGAATCCTTGTCCCATCAAACATGCTCGGCCTTCCAGCTGTGGGGACGTAATAATGTGATGATCAATCCCACTAATCCCACTTGGTAAAAAAGATAGCCCAAGAGTTGACGGTGGGTAGTGATGACTAGCTGCCTTCCCTCTAGTCTTTCACTACCATATTAGGGACGGCTAGCGTAGATAGCCCTCGTGTAGTTTTGCGCGAAATTCAAACCAATCTAAAGTAAAACATTGAAAATATAGCTTACAACAATATTGCTGTGTGGCAATTTTGTGGGAATGTAAAAAATGAAAGACAAGTGTAGAATGTTATTTTTTTAGACATTTATTATCTGAAAGGTATAATTTACTTAGTAAGAAGCATGTGATATAAAACATCAGCATGAAACCTGTTGATTCAAAAATGACCTAAGCTTAAAAATGAATTAGTTTTATTATAAAAGTGCTGAATATCCTACTTAAGTTTCATAATTTATAATAATATAGATAGTTCGAAATCTTCATAGGATATTTGTCGAAGAAAAAATATACTAATTAATCTGTAGTATTTATTTAATAGTTTGTTTCCGTTTGTACAAACACATCTTCATAGGTATTTGCAGAAGAAAAAGATACTAATTAATATTTAGTATTTTATTTAATATTCTGTTTCCCTTTGTACAAACACTAAATAATAATAATTATCCGAAAGACTGATAAATAGTTTTTGACTCCAAAAACTATGCAAAAATCCTACTTAGAGAAACATGCAAAATACAGTCACATGACATTTGGCAAGAGTCTATCGGTCTGGAATAGAGTATTTGAAGTTGTTAGGTGTAACACATACAGTTAGTTAAGGTGGTAAATATTCTTTCTTATTATACCATTTATGTACAAAAGAATTTCTTTTTAAAATCGGAAAAGTTTTTGAAGGGTAATAATTTCAGTTAGAGACGCCAACGTTTTATAAAATTACATTATTAGTATTACAGGTTGGAAGATGGGTTGCTGTTTCAGCAGCGATGACGATAAAAACTCGCAGGTATGTTTCCAAAATACTTTAAATTAAAAGTTAAATGAAACTGGAAGAATAATATCAGACTTTACTACTATCAACATTTAATATGTAGTTGCAAATCAAAGGGTGTTAAATGTTTGATTGATATTTGCTATGCGACATATGACCCCGAACAACATGTATTATTACTGTTAGTGTATAGAAAAGTTATTTACAATTTAGCCAATGAATGCTGTATTTTTGTATTAATTTTTATGGTACTGGGTTGGTAGTTAAAAATAAAATCGATTTTAACTAGTGAATCGTAGATACCAGTACTAAATATTATAGTAGCAACAAAAATCAAGATGTTTAATATTATTAAGATGTAGTATTATAGATATTACATTCCATGTGATTTGAGAAATTAAAAACAAAAAGAACGTGGTGTAAGTTGTAGTTTAAACTAAAAGTAGTTGCAAAGAAATATAATAGAATATGTATACATAATCAGAATAGATGAAAAATAGTTTCACCATCAAGGTTACCCATTATCCAACAAAACAAGCACACAAAACCAGATCGTGTGTAGTCTTTGACATCCATCTACCTATTTCTGTTGAAAGTGTAAGTTGTAATGCACAGTTGGCAAAAGTGCATGATGTTAAATTTCAAATGATTTGCTAAATGTAAGATAGCTTCATGTTATCTTATGGACTAGACATTTTTTAACTGGTCAAACTTTTGAACAATAAACACCTAAATCAAACAGTTTTTGCTTGTAAATTGATTTTTTAAAAGTGAAACCAGTTATCATTCTAGCAGCCTATCTTTACATTTTCCAATATTTTTACAGTCGGAAGAAGATAAAAGGCAATGTGTTTTGATCAAGCCCTGAACCCAGGATCCTGGGGAGTGGTATATTTGAAATCGTTCATACCCCATGCACAAGCTAGTGAGACCAGACTTTGGTATGCTTGGATACCATGGGAGAGGGTGTCCTAATAGGATTTTTTTGGCTACATGTCCTCTTTATGGTAGCTATAGAACTAATAAGAGATAACAGAGGAGCTTGATCAGTATATCTGGGCTTTTGTGAATTATGAGGAGACATTTGAACCTTGTAGCAGAGCTTGGGTATTTTATGCTAGTACATATAATTACTTCAATTTTTACATGGGCTTTAGATGTTGTGTATTTAGTTGCTTGAATGTTATGTTGAAAATATTGTCAACCATGTGATCATTGTAGATTGTTTTTCACAGTTTAAAGCCTAATTTGTGTGCTTGTCATGTAAATTGGTTGTTTTTTTTAATGTGATCAACAATTATGAGGAAAATAAGTTTAATGATAATTACAAATCCAAATAGGAAATCTTCAGTTCATGATTATGATAATTTCTGTTTCAGAGTACCACATGTTTAGATGTAATTTTATGTTTATAATGCATCTATTCCATTTCCTAGTTAAATTTAACTTGATTCAGGAAGACCTATCATAAGCTTTTTAAAGAAAACAAAAAACATCTGCTATAAATACCTCAATCAAGTAATCCCACAAAATATCATAGCTAAAATGTAAATTTTCATGTCATTTGCATTAAATGTGGAGATGTTTGTGTACAATTTGCCAATATGATAATTTTATCATAAAATGGTAATAGTTGGAAAAAGGGACCCATAATATAGGTATGACTATTCACCCTGCTAATATGTGTATAATTCTTTTGTATCATTATAAGAACAGTAGAAGATCTAGAAATTCTGTATTATATGTTCTTTAATTTTACTCTCCAGCTGACTTAACCAGCAGAAGTGGCTTATAGTGTCATTCATTTATTTCACTAATGCAAAAGTTTACCCTGAACAAATAGTCTGTCAAATAGCAAATACAATCTCCCAATGTCTGTGCCATCAGTGAGAGAGGGAGTGGTTTGAACCCTCAAATTACCAAGTTGTTTTTATACTGTAAATTGTTAGGAGTTGACATATTAATTATCTTAAGTAATTTTGTTTTTACTTGTTACAACATTTTGGTATAAATATCCGATCAAAAAGTTTATGTGAAATTACTCATTTTCTATGTAAATAGGGATTCCCATAATTAATTAGAGGAGTTAAATTCAATATTTTTTTTTTCTTGGTTCTTGTACTACTAGGGTTTTCTAACCAACAAAGTCATGGATCCACAAGCAATTTGTTATATAAATGGTTTAAAAAGTGTAAGAAGTCACCGAGGTCCATATGAATACTATTAATAATTCTAGAGTTAATTGAAATTAAGTTCTGGACTTCCAAGAGTGAGCTTTTTTGAGTGAAGCCTTGAAAATGACTTTCAAGAAAATACCTGACAGTAACAAATGCTTGTTTTAGTCTTATCAACTTTTATAGTTCATTAGAAGTCATAATACTATTTGTATTTTGCTGGTAACTAACTTGTGTAAATGTTTATTGATTATTAATATATTTTCTTTTTCCAGGATGGAGAGCCAAATGAAAGAACAACACTATTGGGTAACCCTGTGAGCAGCTCTTCAAGTAGACCTACTAGGTATTGCAGTTGTTATTGTTTTCCAATTAAAAAAAAAATAAAATTACAGCTACATGTGATTAATTCTGAGATAGAGAGCTTCACAGACTTTAGTATTAGTAGTTTCCTTAAATTCTTTCTGGAAATGAAAATATGGCTTTGAATGTAAGTATAGTAAGAAAAGTATTTTATTAATCAAGAAATTCAAAAACACACAGGTCATGGTCACTTCTAAACTTTCCAAAAACTGTAAAAAATAATAATTAAAAAAAAATGTTTGAATATATTACATTCTTCCAGAAATGCCTCCAACTAAGTTTTGAAACTCTGAAAGAACTTAAGCTGACGACGTAATGGTTCCTCTGACAGATTCTTCCACAGATTGATCACCCACAGGGTAAAGTAGTTTTGTTGGAAGAGGTATCTACATCTAAAGTACCAAAGCTAGAACTAGGACGTTTGAAATTCCCATACTCGTTTCCAATGTTATCCTACCTAAAAGAAAACCGGATGCTCCCCTGTAGGTGTTGTGGTAGCCTGAGTGTTAAGTGTTTGTCTCAGGATCTGAAGGTTATTTAGTTGAGTCTGGGGCACCCATGCTACCTTGGACTGCACAACACAAGTGCTGCAACAAGGATTTCAGGCATGTATGTAGCAGGAGGGAAGCCTAGGCTATTAGCCAGTGTTGTTATTCTTCTAGCATGCACCTTTACCTCTCACTACATTGAACTATTGAATCAAGTCTTCTACAGATTTTCCTATCATAGAGAAAACTCCATAGTTTTCTAAACTTAGAATTATTCTAGCAGTTTTGCTTTGTACACTAACGTAAAAAGGCCTAGTAAGAACTTTATACGAAGAAAAAGTAACATGCTCAAAATTTGAATAAAACTTTTAATAAATTTTAAAAAATCATCTTTATCCTGTTATTTCTGATTTTGTGTACCTTATCCTAACACTCAACAAATGCTTATAAGTATCAGTCACACCTAAATTTGTTTCATCTTCAGTATATTGTAGATTATCTTTCTCCAAATACATGATATTGTACTTTTCAGTATTAAAAACTTGTGTTAAAATCACAAGTCACAACTAATGAAAAACACTCCTGTAACAGTTTTCTCCATTATTATGGTGATATCAACGAAATAAATTTTGAAAGAATAGCAAACTTTTTCTCATAAGGTTTCATTTGGAACAAAGATCTTGTTAAATATTATATCAATTCTTTGTATAAAAATTTCCTTGTAAAGCAGATTTTTTTTTATCTGCTTGATTCTTGTGGAGTGTTAATCCATCTACTATAGATTTTATTTTGACTGTGGAAACTGGTAAAAGTAATGAAGCGACTTCAAAATACTTAAGTGCAGTGTAGCACTTAGGGTGTCTTGCTATAGCTGTTTTCTACTATGATTACTCTTAGGTGTAACAAACTAAGTAGCCAAGGGATCAGCTAAGTGTAAGTAGTTTGGTGTGTGTAGTTGTGACAGAATAAGCATCTCTATATTTTTAGTATTACATTTTGCATGATTATCTATTAAGAAAAAAAAAGATTATTTTAGAAAAGATAACTTTCAAGTTGTTTTTTTTTTTTTTCACTTATTGTAACTTTATTCCATTAAAAAAGGGGGGGGGGAACAACTATGAGAAGCTAATATTAATAGTTCAATTTGCTGGTATAGACTATTTTTAAGTAACCAAAGCAAAAAGTTTAGATTATAGTCTGGCTAGACTTTTTTTAATGTTGGCTGTAGTGCCATGCTCATTTATGCCAACTTATGTAGTAACTGCAGGCTATTATTAATTTTGTTTTTTAGTGAAGATTATAGAAGAAGAATATCTTATCCACTTAGTAAGAAAGCTGAGGAAGCAGCACATAATAGAATTTTACGTTACGTAGAAGCGTAAGTATTTATTTCTTGAAACTTTCTAATCTGAGACTAGATGTAACACACTAATTATTGCTAAAAAATTAAGTATAATGAATTTTGAATTTCCATGTAATAACATTAAAAATTTATATAAATCCTGATATATATAGATACAAATGCATACTTACATAAATAACTTGTATATACATTTTATCATGTTTTTAGTTTTGTATTCTATCCCCATTTCTGTCCTGATAAGCCAGTTTTTATGCGATGTCTAGTGGATTCTGGAATCCCTCATGTACTGTTTGTCGTAACTTGCAATGGTATATATTGTATGTATACAAATACCCCCAATACATCAAAATTGTCAATTTTGTTGCTGTTTGTTTTCTAAAGCTAAAAGCTAATTTTAAAGTTAAATACCTTCTGTATGTGGAAACGAGTGTGTACAGTAATGTAATATATAATGAAATATGACATATTTCAGAAATTTGATTGATATATCGCATATGAATTCCCAACTGGAACAGCAGGAGTACTTAGATAGAGCTCATGAATATAGTCATAAAATTGCAACTACTGCTTTGGCATATACATATCTTCAAAAAAGGCCATTTGTGTTAGTTGACCTTCCAGCTCCAGAAAAGGGTCTTGCAATCATTCCTATACCTTGGAGTGATCTGAAATTGGTAAGGCAGGGTGGTTTTGATATTTGAAAGATTAAATGTTTGTTTTTGCATTTTATTGATTTCTTGTATACGTTTTCATTTCTAAGATTAATTTTATCTTACTGGTAAGAAGCAAACACAAGCTTTATTATGTCTGACATTCTCTTTTGATCATCAGCACGAGTTAGATTATTAAGTTGCAGCTAGCACCAATGGTATTTAATCAACGTTAACTTAAGTATTAGGTTCATTTGTTATAATGTTATAGGATATAATGTTGTTAACTAAAATGTTATGTATGCAAAGAAACATTAACATAAGTAAGTTGTATTATTTGATGTTACATCAAAGTATCTGTGATAAAGATAGAACCACACACATACACAAATGTGTGTGTGTGTGTGTGTGTGTGTGGTATATACTAGCTGGGGTACCCATCCCACTGGATGGAAATTATGTAAATTCATGATTAATGAAAGGTTATCATAGGACATAAAGTTGTTTCCCTTATATGTAATTGTAAAAAATGCAAAAATACCCGTAACTGCAAAATAAAAATGTGAAACCTCAACTTTGCATATATCTCCGCATGGACCCAACAAACCATCATGCCAAATTTGGTGAAGATTCATCAATGGCGAGGAAAGTAGTGATAAAAAATGCCCCTAAAAACCACAAAATGCAAAACTAAAAATTTGTTTGTACCCCTGCATGGACCTAATAAACCTCCATACCAATCTTGGTGATGTTCCATCCACACCCTGTGAAGTAGGTACATGGACAGACAAAAGATAGTACTATTATTTATATAGATTTACATGTATATATTACACTGTAAACATTGGGCATCACATATATAAAACAAAACAAGCAAAAACTAGTTCTATCAGCAAAACATGACTACTTAAATGTGTCCTGGTGTGTGAGGTATTTGTTGACATGGGGTTCATACAACAGCAATGGGATGTACTGTTAATGAAATTAATCATTATTTACAATCTCTGCTTGTGAAGTAAAATGAAAAGAAAGCAGAAGGAGATTCTCTTACTTACAAAAACCCTAAAAAACCCAAGCTACCATTTTTTGTTTGCAGCTACAAGTAGGATAATGGGGTACAGCTACAGAGTGAAAAATACTCACTATATTATCACTGTTTTGTATACTCCACATTTTTGTGTATACTATTTCCAATGGAAATGGGAAGTCATTTTTCATTCCTAGTCCACAGTTTGTACCTAAACCTTAAATTGTTTACAAACAGTTTCCAGTAGTTCATGTATTGGATATCATTGACTAAGCATTTACACCTGTTTCGAACTTGGATTTAACTTCATACTGCCTGCATGTAAAGATTATATCCTGATAATCTGTACATTTCTATTCTTTGTGAATCCTTTTTAACAGATTTCTCTCTGGGTATGGCCTAGTAGTTATGCTATACTATGGATTAGTAGATTAAAGCTACAATGTGCCTGTGAACATGCTTTGCACTGTCATCTATGCGTGTTTGAGCAATATAATTTTCCTGAAAAGGGGCTGAAGGCTGCCTGGAGGGGTCACCTATCTTAACCACTCACACCATTATGCAGTACTGAGTTGTCTGTCTGTCAGTCAGTCAGTAAACACTAAAATGGCATAACATGAGGGGTGCTTAACGTTGCAATTTGTACTGTCAAGACATCTGTGAAATTTTCACATGCCATGAATTGCAAGAAGAATTATGCACTGTGTAGGTTAAAACAGAGCATGACATATGAACTTCAAAAGCAAGAAAGAAAAATATTTGTTACACTAAATTTTGGTTTTATTTACTCTTGAAATAGCTTTCTTTTGGGCACCCTGCAGAAGTACATCTAGTAGTGATAGCCATTTCCACTGTTCACCAGGGATGACTTGAACCATTAGGGTCTCTGATGTTGCTGCTTAGGTTCAGCTTATGTGTTGCATAAGATGCCAAATAGCAACCCCCCCCATACCCCCAGCATATGTACATCTGTAAATTATGCCTAATTTAATTTAACTATTTTGTTTGTGTAATGTTTTTCTATCTGGCTGTTGGATTTGAATAAATATTTAATTCCAAGGATTTGAGATACCACTGTGTGATTTTCTATATGGTAGTTATGAATAAAAAAAAATAATATATATATATATAATAAATAAATAAATATTGCATTAGAACAGTAATTATTTTAGCATCCCTAAGTTAGGCAACAGTCAAATTTCTGCCACATAAGTTAAAAATAACAATTACTACTTCATTTTTATTAATCATACATAATCTTGAAAGATCCATTCTTTATACAGGTTTATTCTCGTTAATATCACTTTCATATATCTAGGGAAAGAGAAATGGGCTGATAAATAATTAATTTGTCTTTCACACTAAATAATATTGCAACTCTGAATTAAACAGATGACTGGTGTATTTGTTTTGTTTTAATTAAATTCACATACATGAATCTATCTTTACCTCATCATCTAGGGATGAATTTAAAAAAAAATAGTGGAAATGATTTAAGTTATTATTATTATTATTTTTGCTATAAACCTCAAGAACTATGGTGAATCCACTTCTTCCTCAGCATTGTTTGTGTAGCAATAAAATCTTTTGTAGACTGAAGAAATGCATTTGCTTTGTTTGTTTAAAAAAGTGAAGGCTTTGGCTTCAGTGAATTGAACAATAATATATGAATTTTATATTTTATTTATTGGAACATATCTAATGTTCCATTCTTTATTTTGTGATGATTATCTTGTGGTTTATAAGACTATCATTCTTATTAAATATTCTGTCATATAAAGGCTGGTAAATCACATGTTTTAGAATTTTTTTTTTAATTTACTATTCTATTTTCCAATGTTTTGTATCTATGTTACCGTTCACTAGTAATTGTATGCATGGTAAAAATTACTTAAAATTTTGTATAATACATCACTTGTTAATAATATATATATATATTTTTTGTAGCTGAATAATACTTGTGAAAATGTGTTGAATGCTCTCCAAGAAATCAAGGTTGAACATAAGGAAGAGCTTGTGGTTCAGTTTGAAATTCATTGAAATTGGTCTAACAGTTTTTGATCAAATGGCCATTATTCTTTGATGGAAATAAGCAAATAAGTATGGTATAATTGAACATTCATCATCAAGTTATTCCAAATGGCACTTGATGAATGTTTTGCAACATTTTTGAGCGGTGCTAACAAAACTAGTTCTGTACGAAGTGTTGTATGTTAGAAACCTGTTATAATTTACATAGCTTATTTCAAGTACTAGAACACCAAATATTTGATTTATTTTTAGTTGTGTGCCTTTAATATCTAACATACTGAACTTCAAATGTTATTGAGCTTATGAAACTATTAGTGAAGAAAGGATTTGGGAAGATCTCCATGAGAATGTAAAATCCCAAACATTCATTACAAAATAGTTCTCATTTAGTATCATAAAGCTTACTTACAAGACACGTGTAAGACGAATAACAAGTAATTAAGACAAGTTATGTATGTTTATTGAAAGTGTCTTAAAACTACTGTTGAGTTATTAAACTTAAAGAATAACAATGGTAAAAGAAAGTAGCATAATGTGTTTAATAACAGTTCATGTAGTTGCAACCAGCAATATTATATACCTTGCAAGAGAAGATGTACAATGTATGTAACATTCCAAATGTACAAAAGATTGTTTACTTCGAAGATAATGTTTTTGCATGATCAATCATCTTATTTAAAACCTGGGATTAGCTTATCAGCTTTCAACTAATCTAACATAAGCTGCTGGCCTGTTTATGTGAAGTAAAGCTGAAAGTATTCTCTCCTGTAATCATACACATTTGTGGTGTTCACAATAGATTTAATATTTATTACAGGCATTTTGTATTTCTAAGGTTGTCTCCCATTCATAGATATTGTATATGATTTCATTGTTCTTTTTTTTAAATCAAAATAAAAAGCAGAAATGAAACCTTTCACTCTCAATGTACATACCAAAGTACAGATATTTTTATTAAGTCTTTGTACTATTGAAATAGTTGGTCTTTTTTTGGTTAACCACTAATGTTTTTTACTCGTTTATATTATTTCTACCCTAATTATTTTTTCTCCAGTATTCTTACATTAAGAAATAAACTCATTAAATAATGAATACTGTATTCTGTGCCAAGTTGATTTCTTGTCTCATTCACTCACTTTTCATCGTTTTTCTATGTCTGTCTTTCCATTTCAGTTTACACTTTAAGATAATAGTTAACATATGTATTTTTAAATATTTTATTTTCAGTTTCTATGCTCTGGGAACATGGCAATTAAAAGTAATAGAGTAAAAATGAGCACAAATAAGTACATTGAGGTTTTATAAATAAAAATAAATAAACTTCAAGTTTAAATTTATTTGCATTAAAAGTCTGCTTGTGCTTGACTTTTATGAGTATTTTATCACAAAATTATATGCTCAATTTTTCTTCTGTAAATGAAGTGTACAAGATACTTTTTACTGTGTGCAGAAGACTTATTAAATGGATTTATTTAATTAGTAATCCTGATCCATGTTTAGTTATGTCCTCCAGATGCCTTATTTTATTTTTCTGTTTTTAGTTTTGTAATTTCTAGTTTTCTCAACCTGTACGAGCATTTTCATAGATATGCTAAATATACAAATAACAAAATTAGGATAGTTAATAGTTTGTTTTGTTAATATTGTCTTTAATAATATTCTGGAATATAACTGTACAATATCTGTTTCATTAAAGTACACTGATATCCAACAGATAAGCTTAAAAGTATCTGCAAGAAAGCAGATTCCAGAAATTTATTGTAAAGAATTTCAAACTCAAATTATAAGGGAAAGAAATCAACACAAATGAGCAACTGGAATGAAACCTTTATTGATAATGATTGTTTGTCTTTTTATCCACTGGCTGGCTTAAGTATTTGAACTCAAATTAGCTGCTGAGTCTGGAGAGCTTTTTACTTATCTGCATGGGACAAGAGACAAAAACTGATTTACTGTTCAAATTCAGAGAAAAACATTAATGTGTGGCATACCAGAAACAAATTGTTGTTCCAAATAACATTTATGGGGGAGTAAAAAAGAAAAAATGCTAACTCATACCAATTTGTACAAGCATCTGTATCATCCATTTTCATGAGTGTGGGAGGGGGAAGAAATGGTCAAAGTAAAATAAGCTTCAAATTGCTGACATATACTACCTTACCTTAGGAAAATGAATAATAAATGTTCACTTTCAGTTAACAAGAATGTTATATTACTTGTAAAACATCTACATAAAAATTTTAAAAACTTAAATCTGAATAAAGATATATTTTACACCATTTATGGAAAGGATAAATTCACAGCTGTTCAGCTATATCTAACAATGATTATACACTGCAAAATGTAGTTTTAGAATAAAGATAAACAAGGGGTAAAGTACATTTTAACCTAAAAACCCTCAACTTGTATTCAATTTTGCTAGTTTCAGCTTTAATCATTCAAGATTTTGTAAACAAGTAGCACCACATGATATCATTTTGATACCCTGATATTCCACAGTCACAAGACAATGACTTTTCAACACACACACACACACACACACACACACACACATGGAATTCAAGTGTACTCTTTTTCAGCTGTAACTTGAACAAGTATTGTGTGTAGGCATTATCAACAATATACTCAAGTGATGAAATAAGCAACTTAAAAACATAGGATCTTCTTTGTTAGATTGTTTAGGCACAGTATTCATGATGAAATTGAGTTGAATGGATGGCAACTGCCTGTTGATTGAAATAAAAGTTGAGAGAACAATGTTTCAAAAATATTCCACCTGAAGGCAGAAGACTTTCAAAATGTCATCCATTCAACTAAATTTCAACATAGGATCTGTGTGTCCTAAGAGAAGCACTGAATGACCCAGCATAAGTTAAGACACTAATGTCAACAACATAGTCACTGGACATGATGGAAAATATTTTCTTCCTATAATTGAATATTGAATCTACAATATTCACTCCAGGTTTACTATAGGTGCAAGTATAGGAATTGTACCAGCAAAGTGATGCAATTCTGGAATACATGCTAAACATCTTAAACTAGACAGTTGTGGGATCATTAAATCCATTGAAAACTATTTAGAAAATTCCACACAAGTTTTATTAATTTATAATTTTTACAGTTCCAAGCAATAGCTTTTGCTTTTCTGGAGTGTTTAAATAGTATGCAAATATCTTGATGAAAATTAAAAAGTCATGCATGAAATATGGTGTTAAATATTTTCACATGGAAAGATATACTACAACAGTAATTAGTTAGGATTTAAAATTATTAGCAAAAAATCAAAATAAGCATCATTTTCTAAAATAATATCTATAAGTTTACCTAATGTTAATTTGAAAGCAAAGAATAGATTTGCTTATCCGCCCGGAATAATTAACACCCTGCATATGATCTATAAATATAACATGTTGCATAAATGATGAATTAGCTATTGTTATTTTAATCCGTTCATATGCTGTTAAGGCTATGTACAAAAAGTTAATGCTGTTTGAGATACATAATTTTAAACAACAACAATAAAGCTCAACTGTTATTACACGTAGAGCCAGACCTCACGTCTCTCTAAATGTGTCGGTTAGTGAGGCTTGTAGTTTACAGGGATGTTATAATAAAGTAAAATAAATGAAACGGAAAAGAATTATGACTGCTTTGTTACTGCAAATTCTTGTACGTTTGTACAAAAAGTAGCAGTTGTAAAAACTGCAAATTTGTTCTGAAAAGTAGCCTTAAAGCAGAAATTAAAAAAAAAAAACGTTAATAAATAGCTATTATATCATTGCGTTCAGCGGTAAGTCACAAGACTAATAACTCTAAAATCGAGTTTCGATACCTGTAGTGAGCACAGCACAAATAGTTCATTGTGTACCTTTGCGCTTAACAGCAAAAAACTATATCATTACATTATTTTTTCTGGTCAAACTTTTTATCCTGATTTTGAGTTGAATTACGATATCCAAATTTAAAATGTAGTCCTACTTACATGCTTTAATAGTACTGCTGCCTAATGAATCAATACACAAATATTTATGAACTTGTTTGAGGCTCATAACGTAGGTAACTTAATATGTAGAATTTTAAACGGATTTTTCTCTTTTTTATAATTTTAAATATTCATGAACATTGGAGCATTATTCAATTATGTCTCATAAAATAAAGTATCTGGTCTCACACTTTACATATTCAATTAATATTTTAAAGTACCTTAATTCAATTGAATTACTGTCATGTTTTACGCTTTATGAATGAATGAAACGTCTTGATTGCGATTATCAGATTTCAATGATATTTCTTTGTTTAAATAGATTTTGGTTTGTATTCCGTTAGAATTATGTAAGAGAATAACTTTTTTGTTCGACTATGTTGAATAAGTAACTAAGACGTTTATCAGAAAGTAAATTGCCACTTTTTTCTACCTTCATAGTCTAGAGGATCTCTATCCAGATCAAAAATTATCATTTGTTCACTCTCCGAGGCAAAAAGAATAGAATCGTTCTTGTTTTCTGAAAATTTTAGATTTTGGGTTTTGATGAATGATGTTAAAAGTGCCATCTCGGGTCTTTCAGAAGACATTTGTAAAGAAGGTGTATTACTATTCTTCATCGTTAAGTTGTTACTTTCATTACTCAAACAATGCGCTGTGTTTACCACAGGATGTTTAGAAATGTTAGTTGTGATCTTGGGCAAAAGAACCTGATTTGAGGTTTCGGAAAAATCTTCTTTCGATTCGCTTTGCCGTTTTTCATGCAGTTTTTTCTTTAACTGTCTAAAGCAAAAAAAGCATAGTATACCCCTAATAACCCACAATTCTAACAATATTAATATCGCTATTAAAGTTTTTATTTCAGGCTTAGATAATAGTTCTGAGAACATGGTAGTTGTCTTTAATAAATTAAATGATCCACGTTGTTAAAAGTGAAGTAAATTTTGGATTCCGAAAAAGTAAAATCTAGTAGCGATGTAAAATGCAACAACTCATTATGTGATGATTCAAAGACCTCTTAACTATCCAGAATAAACTTCGCACGTAAGAGTCCATGTTATTGGCGTTTCTATGGAAATGCTAAAAACAGTTATGCGTATAAAACTTAATCGCTGGTACATTCAGACAACAATGTATTTTCGTCTTAGAATTTTCTTTGGCGATCTCTGTTACCATCACATTATTGCAAACAATGATTCATTTTTGAATGAGTGTTGTTCCACAAGACATGAAAAAAACAAAACAAAAA